AACTAGTAAATAATTGTGATATTTTACCTGTAATACACACATTCCAAATGTATTTCCTAATATTTTGTGTGTTTCATTATAATACGTGTAACGTATATTTGTTGAAGATATAAATAATTCAAATGGATCATCATCTTTAATTAATGTACTACCCGATTTCATTTTTTGCTGTATTTGACGCATACGTTTTTTTCGATGTCTAAAAACAAATAGAAGAGAGAATGTATTAAATCTAAATATAATAGAATATAACGAGTATACATACGAAGAAAAATCTAATTCCTTTTTATAACACCATAATACAGATGGACGAGCTTTTATTTGTGCTTTTGATAACATATGATGTAAGATAACCACCTAAAACAGAAACAAATAGACAACAAAATAATTTGTGATAGATTAAAACAGTTGATTTCTCGTACTTGGTCGCGACCTTTATCTCCAACAATAATAAACATCGAACGATGAAATGATTTGATGCCATTTTCAATTAGGACACGTATACGATTATCGATTTTCTTTTTTACCATTTTTCTCAATAATCTACAATAAGATGTGTCATACAGGAGAAAATGAGTTTGATTTGATTTATATTAAATGATGACAACGTCAGTGTCTAAGAATGGATTAATGGCTAATTTATATGATCATATCAAAAACAGAGATGAGTTTACATACATATTACCGAACCTCTTATAAATGTAAAACTTTCATCATCAAGATGAGTATCCTTTTTTTATCATCAAAATATTCCCGAACTACTTCATTAATATTATCGAACAACTAAGATAACTTTGAGTTGTTAGACAGATTCTATTACACACTTACAAAACACTTATTAAGATTAAAAATCGAAATTTAAGTGTCGACATTTAACATTGCTTTCAAAAAAAATTTTTGTTCATTTAAATCCTATTTCCGAGGTAGTTGTTAGAACTGAGAACTGGTAATTCCCGCCATACAAGTCATAATAAGCTTTGATTCGTTATGTTCACTAATAAATAGAACTTAATAGATTAAAACTCGTTTTACTACTAAATATCTTTGTATTCTTATGTTTTTTGTTGTTCTTCTCTGTTTGTCTTTTTCATCATGATTCTCCATAGAAATATCAATGATACATCGTGCGTACACGTGTGTGATACAGGAAAAAGAAGACATAAAAAACACAACTCTCCATTTCAAAACACGACGCGCGCACGTACACACAAGTGCCTTTCTGTAAGCGTTTAACATAAAAAAAAAATGAAAGCCTCAATGTTCAAAATAATAAGAAACCAACATAAACTGAAAACAAAAAGAGAAAAAAACATACCTAGATACTCTCTTTGATATTTGACAGACATACATATAATAATAACATATAAAAAAAAATAGACAAGTAGCTTTTGTACATCTGTATTTATGTGTTTGTTTGTTTTTCTACTAGTGTGTGTACCCAAAATATAAAAAAAAACACTCCTACAACAGTATCACTGACAACAAGAAACCAGCACTTGCTCGTATTTACACGCAACAAGAAAAAAACCATAGGAAGTTTCATTTTCCAGTTGTATCATAAAAAAAGTACAAACACACACACAGTCTTATGAGATACTCAGTCTTCACTTTTCAGAGAGAGAAGAAAAAAACGCGACTAGGAAAAGAGATAGACATTGTACTTCTATCAGTTCATTTTTTTGTGTTCTTTTTTCTACTATGAAAGATTTATTTTTGAAGTTGATAGCTCTTGAATTCAGTCTATATTGCTGTGACATCTCATTATTTCAAACTAAAACGAGTCGATAGTACAAGATAATGAGTCTTGTTGTTGGCTACACTGTTAACAATATTGCCTCTTAGTATGTAACTACTGAACATGTAAGAATAAATACTACTCGTTTAAGCAAAAAAAGTCTAATGAAAAGAAGATGAAAGAAAAAGAAGAGAAACTGGGTTATTAATAAATAAGAATTGCTTCACGTTCAGATCACCGTCGAATATAGCTGCAAATCAAAAAGTCAATTGATTTACTGTTGTACAAGTTTAGTTAGACAATAGGTTAATTTTGGTTCAATTTGTTGAATTAAATCTTTTCTGTTGAATAAATTTAATTGTATAAAACGCATCAATTGAACATACTGTGTCGAATTCTGTTGTAGAAATGGTTTTAAGATTTTTTTCAATTGTGTTATAGGACAACGATCTAATGTTTGACATAATTCTTTGATAAAACCATTTATTCGCTCATTGAGATTATGATAGTGTATTTCTTGTGGCAATCCAGGAAATGATGATGCTGGATTCGGTAGTAACGACAAACAACGTCTCTCAATATTCAATAATAATTCAATGAGTAATGTTATAGAATAAGAATTTGTAAATAAAATTGGATCATTAAACGGACCAGAATAGGACGATGAAAAGGCGAGTGCATCGGATGACGACGATGAGTCTAAAAAATAAATTAATTATATTTAGATTTAAGTGAATCATACATTCCGGATTAAATAATTGGCAGAAATCTATGAGAATTTTGGTATTAGCTGATATAAAACTTAGAGACATACCTGTTTGATTCTTCTCTTGTTGTTCATTTAGTCTATTATCTAATTTATCACTGAAATATTTGTAAAACATATCTAACAGTTGCTCATATGTATACTTTCTCATTTGTTGTAACATTAAACTAATCATATTCATGCCAAGATGTTCGATAATAAATACTGAGTTTATACTCATCGTTTTTCTTACCATATATGATAAAGATGAATAAATTGAAACTAGAATATGTTCGCAATAATCTGTGGTCGTATCATTAGCCATAACGTACGGATATATTCGTTCAAGAATAATTTGACCTTTGCGATGTAAAAACATATCAGCGAATAAATATTCATCATTAAATAGATAACGTTTTAAAATTGATTCTAACATTTGTTTATCAACAACTTCCCCATCGTCACCATCTAATTTTAGTAAGTCACGATGAATATCTTCGATGTTTAATAAAATGCCAAGATCATATTTATCATGTGTTATGGACTTTAATGTTTTAACAACAACACGATTACCTAAACGAAAAAAAAAACGTCGAGAATATCACAAGCTTTATTGTTAATAATAGAATAACGCAATCGATGGTGAAGCGACTTTTGATAAAAAAAGAAAATTTTGAAATTTTTACCATCTAAATCGATAACATATCTTGGGTGTTTTGCTGTTAATGTTGATACTTTTCCTAAAGAATGATGTACTGCTGTGCTTCCGGGTTGTTGAGCAGAAAAAAATTGCTGTGGTGTTCTTTCTTCTTGTGCATTTGATATCAACGATCTTAGTAATGCAGCTACTGGCTGTGAAATTTGTTGCTGATGTAGAAACTGTTGTTGTTGTTTTCCTTGGACCGCTTGTATATGTCTTTTATTTTGTGACCATTTATGATAGTAATAATCATCGTCTGCTGACTGTGGTGTCACTTGTAATAATTGTATTTTAACAACCCATTGCTTTTCATTATCACTCATTAGACCAGCATAATCATCTTGATTTCGCCAAGAAATTAAACGTGGAGGACGTGGATATAAGCGTTGTGGTTTGTTATTTGATTGTGGAGGATAAACATGTTGATGAGGTGGTGGATGTTGTTGACTTCTTTCAGGTTCTGTACGCGTACGTTGTATAGTTTCAATAGGACTTGTACCAGACGAAGATGGACGTTGAATCGGACCTGGTGACATGAAGACTTGTTGTTGGATAGGAATTTGATTTGATCGTTGAATAGCAGCCATCATTTGATGAGACATGCTCATATTTGAAGGGCGTTGTGAAGGAAAAAATGGACGATATGGTGAATCGAATACAGGCGACGAAGATGTCTGGGGACGATGAAATAGTATTGGTTGTGGCTTCATATCACCACTAATACCATTTGTTAATAAATGTGAATGTTGTTGTTGTTGCCTGTCGTCATTATTAGTTGATGAAGCTTGGGCAACCATTTCACGCTCAAGATCTTCAGCGCGAAACATACGAGGAATTTGTTTTGATGACGCAGGAGGATGCCGTTGTTGTTGGCTCGTTGAATCTATCCAGTTTGGTAAACGTTGATGCTGAGACTGATGAACATTGTTACCGTTTGGCATCGTCTAAATTGAAATATAAAGAAAATTGAAGCCGTAACTCAACAAAATTGTTTTCAAGTACTAAAACTTACTCTTGCTGCTTGCTGTTGTTGCATTAATATATCTCTTTGTATTTTACCCATCATTTGTTTCATTAGTAATAATCGCTCATTTGGAGGGGTATCAATAGCAATCAATGTTTGTTCAAATTGTTTTAACGCTTGAATATGATGTGAAGAAATTGGCATTTGTAGTGTAGGACGAAATGGTTGTTGTTGTTGTTGAGATGAAGGTCGTACGAGATTGCTGACATCTAACACCGGTGATTGTTGTAATGGTGTCGTTCGTCGTTCAAATAAGCTCGGTGTTGCATCATTGAAGAATGGATTCAATGAACTTTGTTGCTGATGTGTAAATGGATTCTGTTGTTCAATATAATTCGTTGTCAAACGACCTAACGATGTTGATAAATTTGATGCTGAGTCATCTCCAATCAAAGCATCAATAGACGGCATTTGATCATCAATATTTGTTTCCTCTTCATCTAATGGATAATCTTCAATAAACTCGCCGTTTTCACCAAAATCAGATTTTATCTTTATCTTTTCTACTGATTCACCAAATGTTTCATCATTCAAATCATCAATTTCCTCTGCCATATCGCCAACTTGAGGCAGTAATAAATCTTGCCTACCATTAGAAAATAGTAAATCATCTGTCCTTAATGGTAGTTTTGCGTCAGTTAGAAACAATGACGACATTATCACAGAAACAGTGTTAAACAATGTAACAGATCTGCAACAAAGAATCAAATCAGAAGTCAATTTACCAGAATAATAGTTAAAAAATTTCAAACATCAAACAGTTTGTAAGAAAGATTTTAGCATGATGGTCGAAGAAAGGCAGAAGAACTAAGCCGAGAGGTTACGGTATGCTAGGACTAAGAGTTAGGTTGGAACACAGTCCTAATGCACTCCAATTTGAGAGTTCTAGATAAATAAAGGACACAAGTCAAGAAACTTTGCAGTCTGTTGTTTATTTTATGCATAAAGCGTCTCAGTACGGAAACGGCTGTTAAGAGGTATCTGTAACGCACTGAGTAACAGCTCCGAACTGAAATCTTATACAGCGAATAAATTGAGTTCGTCGAATTGATTATACTAACATCGAATTCTAATGGATACTTAATAATGGTTGATGTCTCTTTTAGATATTAGTGACCGTTATTAATACCCATTAGAATATCGTTCGATGTTAGTATAATCAATTCGACGAACTCAATTTACTCGCTGTATAAGATTTCAATTCGGAGGTGTTACCACTGGGTATTTTACAATAACCCTGCTCAAGACTCTGGTCTGAATCGAGTAGAAATAAGAGTCTTGTGAAAAATACGGCTGTAGTGTTGACATGTGCAGGGAGAGCAGAAAAAAATTTCTTTCTTTCTGTGTATTTATTTTCACGTTCTTCAGTTGGCTGGAATACAGGGCCAATAGAAACTCGGACATCGTTGCAGTGTACAATCTAAGATTTGTCGTTGGCACAGCTGCGCTAGCCTTTTCATAACTTGCTTTATTCATTTTGACTATATATTACTAAAAATATTTTTTGTCTCATGCGAAACCTCACCTAAACGAAGAGTGAGTTAGCTCTTGAACAAAAACAATTGAGTGTTTTAGCTCTTTTAGCATTTGGTATTTAGTATTAAAAAATTAATAATTTCTACTGTTGTGTCGGAAGAGTCATAAACTACTGAAAAAACAAAAATCGTGTGGGATTGATGAAATTCCTGTTCAGTTTTTAAACCTTTGTACGACAATTCTAGCACCTAAACTTCACTCTCTATTATCTTCATCATTAAATCAAGAATATTTCTCGAGTTTTGAAAGATTCCCATGTCTTCAATGTTGTTTACAAATTGACGATTATCGCGCTTTTCTGAAAAGTCGCCGTTTAATCACAACATGTCGGCGACTGTTTTCTGTATCGCGATTAAACGTTGATTATTTTGAAAGTCGCGATTTCTCAAAACATCGCTAGCTAATCGCGATTAGTTGCCGTTCTTTAGTTTTCTAGTCATTCACCGTTTTATTTTGCAACTGATTAAATATACTTAGGGCTGACCAAAAGTTCTGACAACATTAAATAAAAATATAAAGATAAGATATTTTTAATTTAATTTTATCAAATGTTCAGGATAATTGCCATGATTATTCATATCACGTTCAATCCTTTCTAACAATTTATTAAAAGTTTTTTTTGAACTCTTTTTCTAAAAAATGTTTAGCTACCTTAGAAACTACATGAGCACATCACGTTTCATTTGTTTTAAAATTTAGCGAAATTTTGTTCGATCATGTCAGTTGCATTCTAGCACTACTAGTGATAAGATATGGATTCATTTTAGATAGGTTAGCCATAAGTCATCTGATGCTAGCTGGCATATTGAAGATGAATTGTTAAAGACTATTGTTCATGGAGACAGATTTGAAGCAAACCTTTGTTTCGTATATTCATTAAATCAAATAGCCCTGAGTGTAGATAAAGGCAAGACCGTAGGTCACAAGTATTATATTGAAAATTGTCTGAAGCCTTTTGTTAATGTAATACGAAAACAAACAGAGACGTCAGGTTGGAAATGTATAAAATTGCTTAACGGTCATCGCTGACTTCATCTTATCCGATGTTATTTATTATTTGACAGAAGAAGGCATTAATATAATGTCGCATCCGCCATATTCGTCATACCTAATACTACATAATATTTGGTTAAATAATTCGATCGAACGAAGTTTAATTAATTAAATAAATGAAATGTGATGTGATGTGCTCATGTGGTTTCCAAGGTAGCTAAACATTTTTTAGAAAAAGAGTTCAAAAAAACTTTTAATAAATTGTTAGAAAGGGTTGAACGTGATATAAATAATCATGGCAACTATCCTGAACATTTGATAAAATTAAATTAAAAATATCTCGTTATCTTTATATTTTTATTTAATGTTGTCAGAACTTTTGATCAGCCCTAAGTTAGTGGCGGCGCCAGGGCAGGGCTAAGGTGGGCTGAGCTCAACCACCCCAAAATTTGAAAACAGAGTACTCACTAGCAATAGTCACGTAAAAATTCTGAACGGATTTTTGAAAAATTATGGGCTGAGCCCAGGCACCCGAAAAATCCTGGCGCCGTCACTACCCTAAGTATAATAAACATGAATTTCGATGTCAATTGTCTGTTTTCCTTGGCTTAATCTTTTCTTTCAGATAAATTTTTTTGGAAGACGCGTCTAGCGTGTTCTTTATGATATCCTTAGAGCTGACTCGTTCTTTCGACAAGGTTCAGCTTTTGAATCGAGGAGCCCAACGAACAACTGGAGATCTGGGCAGTGTCTCAAATCGACAATCTCAAAAACGTACAACAAAACCAAGAAAAATAAAAAAATAGCCCGTGATGATGATAAACTTAAATTAGCAAAAACAAAATATATCCAAGATAAAGACTTTAATGATTATCAAAAAGTTTTAAGAGCTCTTTCTCATCGGTATATAGACGTTATAAAAGATAGTAGTGAGGAAGACTAAAGCCTTTGTTGATACAGCTGTGTTATCAATAAGCCACTAATTATTATATATGCTTCTACTTCTATTGTTTCTGAAAAGCGACCAATTTATATATCTATATTTCAAATTACGATTGTTGCTCTAGACAAAATCTTTTGATAAAACTGATAAAATTCCGATAAGGATCTTATCAGTTTCTTATATAAGATTGTTTAAGATTTCCCATTGACAATCGTAAGTGTCTTATACGAATCTTATAAGATTTTCATAAAAGATTCGTAAGAAATTCATGAGAAATACCAAAAATTCTTATTTACTAGAAGGCAGCTTATGAGTTGGTTTTGCTAATTTCTGATATGATTAAGTTGCTTCTATTGGCTGGAAAACTTCATAAGAAATTTTGGTACTTCTTATGCACGTCTTAAGAACCACTTATGAAAACCTTATAAGATTCTTATAAGACACTGACGACTGTCGATGGGAAATCTTAAATAATCTTATATAAGAAACTGATAAGAATATTGTAAGGCACTGGTAAGAGACTTAGACGTTTCTGGTAAGATTCTTATATAAGAATCGATCTCTAGTGTGATCACTCATTAATTAAAAGTGGTCACTTTTTCCAAACGCAATACAAATGAGACCAATGTAACTTTACTCGTTCCAATTTGCGACCACTTTTACACTAATTGGCTTAAACTTTGGTTCATTTAGGAAGCTGCGGAGGAAAATCATGACAGCAAAAATTAACAATGAAAACGTTTAAAAGAATGTTTTCATTTGATGCCACAGCATACAAGACGTTTAACACTAGAACACCCGGAAATTTTCATGACCTAGAACGCCCAAAGTTTTATTAAGGATAAAAATCGCAAAACGGTCAAAGTGACCGCTGCGGGCGTTCTAGTGTTAAGATATGTTTATTTGGACTTTGTCACGGCTTTCATATGACTTTTTTCGACAGTTAGGCGGCTTGTTCAAGCGTGACGCTGTCACATCTTTGACACAGTAATTTGAACTTTTCTCAAAAAGTGTAAGAGCTAGAAATTTCGTTCTTGTGCCATTCGACGCAGCTCGCCATACTCTACTTTTGGTATAAAAATGAAGGTATGTGGTTAAAGACTCGAATTTTTAGAACCGTTTTTCGGCGCGTGACGCTGTGAGAAAAAAAGGCCCTAAATTCGAAGTTCTTCTGATTAAGAGCTAATTTGCTGCGAATTTAAAAGAGCTAATAAAAAGCGCCTTGAGCAAAGTTTGTAGATGAGTAAACAAGCTACTGATTGCTAAAAAAGAAATCTTTCCAAGGCGCTTTCCATCCCTCAATAATTGTGTTTTATCGTCGTGACACTGACATTTTTCGTGACGCTGTGACACACTCTTTTCCCAACAAAGTTTGGAGCACTAAACATTTGCTCAATGGATTTCATTTTTACATCGGACTTAGTTTTAGGCATCTAATATAGACTAAGATGAAAATAAAGCTGAAAAAATGTTTTCACTTTTTTAGAATTGTGTAAGAATCTTAAAACTTAAAACTTTGTTAAAAGCTTGTTTTGAGTCTAAACTTCAAAAGAAACATACCATCTTGTAGAGAATCGAATTCTCTACCGATTAATGTGGCTTCCATTTTTATTAGGAAAAGTGTCTAGGTGAGGAAACTGAAAATACAGTTTTCAAAAAATGTAAAACTGGATTTTTGGTGCCAAAACTTAACTTTTTTCAAAAAAATAATGTGAGATTCGTAATCAGCACCAAAAACTGCATCTAGTGATATGCTCCTTTCAATTCTACTCTAAAATAATTTTTTCAAAAACTTGATCAGCGAAGTATCGAGTTACGTCGACAAACCGTAGAGTGCATGTTTCTTACAGACGATAGAACTATGTATGCTAACAAAATTTTTGTTTGAAGAACAACAAAAATGCACAAATTGCACAGAGATTAACACTTGCCAGTACTCTATACTGCATAGTAGAGATGTGATGTACAACCCGACCCGATCCGAAGGTTGGGTACGGGTAGAACAGTTACAGGTGCGTTTTACGTTGCGCCTGAAAACCAGAAGATTTCAGTAGAAAAGCACAAAATTTTAGTTGAAAAATACAAGATTTTAGCTAAAATACATAAAGTTTTAAAAAACAGTTACTTGAGAACGTAATGATAATTTGTCATCTTCAGCCGAAAAATAAAAGCTTCCAGCTGGAAA